CCACATAAGCCGCGAATAGCTTTGTCTCTACAAGTCCTGTCATTAAGATGGCTACAAAGTGCTCATTTGTTCCTACTGGTGAGATCATCCCTTTGGCTGGTCAATGCCATTATTTAGCTTCAGGCCCAGGGGGAACATGTTGTTTACCTGAGGTGACATTTCACAGTCAGTTACACTGGAGAGAACGGATTCACAGCAATAAGTGCAAATCCCAGTTTAAGATGGCGAATGGCGATAATATGTACGACCTACAAAACATGCAATATTAAAACAGCTCCTTAACAAGTCTGAAGTAAAGCCTGTCATGTCAGCACTGTTCCCAATGGACTTTCAGAAGGAACAATCAGACACACGGTTTGGGCGACAATCAGAAGGCTCTGGGTTTGTGAGAAACACACAGATTTAGACACAGAACAGATTTCACACTTTTCCTCTGTAAAAAGAAAATATGATGGCACTGCAGAGAAGATGCACTGAGAGGAATTTCCATTTCTGTGATTTGAAATGGATCTTTGTTTTTCCAGCAGAACACAGTGGATGACAGTGGGATGTACATGTAAAGAAAAGTTGGGTGCTTGGTTCACAGATTTATTGAGATGCATGCCGAGAGACCGCAGCTCACCCAGCACTCATGTACAGAGTGACCCACTGCCAGGCAGAGCGGGTCCACGAGGCTCCTCACAGCGACCTCCTGATGGATATGCTTACGAGACCTTGTGTGGTGTGACCCTGACACTTCGGGGAATGGGATGGCAGGCAACGAGGAGAATGCAGACCCGTGTGAGGTGCCAGGCCGGCAGGTGCGGCACACCATCTCAGGCTGTGTGGTTGTGCCCATGTTTGGTGACACCATGGGCTCGCTTATTGGGCGGGGGAGGGGGGGGGAATTTGTCCAATAGCTTAAGCAGCTGCAGATCTTGCAAGCATGTTACTGTTTCTTAATTTGGCTGGCCTTGTCAGTCTCTGTCCAGCAGGCTCACCCCAGTTGCACCGGTGCCTGGCACCTATGGGCCAGAGGCACAATCATTTTCAGACGCCGACAGACAAATCGAATCGCTTAAGTAGTTACTGCACCATACATGGCCTGGGCAGAGTTAGTCTTTTCACCAAGTAACTCACTAGGCTGTGACCACCTGCCTGTGAATACAAAAGGCTTAAACAGTTCCACCTGATGTTGACGAAATTTTGTTGAAAGACGCAGAGCCAATGAATACTGCTCCTTTGCTCACAGAACTGTGGCGCCCTCTGGTGTTAATGCAAGGATTCCATACCAAATTCCCACAATCCAGCAAGTACGAACACAATAGCGGCTTCTACTTGTTCTAAAGCTAATGAATAGTCAGTCAGAGAAAAAATTACGTGTCCTCAGTTATAAACTAATGATGGCTACACCAGCCTGATTGTGGATGCAGACGTGACTCTGTAATCCACTTAAAGCAGATTTTTGGGAAATGCCGTTTTGCTGTTAAGGGCACAATTAAGTCCTTGATTAAGTGCGTGCAATCAACACATTCTTCGGTTTGGTCCTCTACTCCTCATTAGTGGGAGAAAAAGCACAGCAGGATGGCCGTATAATTTCAAAACGAGATTCTCAAAATTGCTTTGAAGGCTATCATGTTTTTCCGCAATACTCCACCTCTTCAGTACGTCAGCATTTTCAAAGCATGGAGGTCGCAGGCAGGAAATTGAGGTACTCAGTGCGAAAAATAAAACGCAAGGAAGTAGCAGCGAGCATTCTTTGGAGGAAGCTGTATATTCTGACCAGGATCAACCGCAGCGCAAATTGATCTCCACTAGATGGCCGCCCATTCACGCCGAATGTTGTTTCAGTTTTACGGTTTCCTAATTTTTACAAGTTTATCAAAATTGGTATCACAATTTTTTATAGACTTGATGCATTCTCTGATGCCTAAAGAAATAATACAAGTATACTAAAAGAGCCTTTTAACCGAAATCTGTCACACAGTCCATGACTCCTGTTCACTTCTCTCCCGGTTTATCTTAACTTCGCTTTCCTGAATTCAGTCTTTCAAAATCGGTATAATTTCAGCAAGTATCTCTATGGGCTACAGTACTGTTTACTTTCCTTTGACGTTTTATTTCTGAAAACCTGATAAATATTGATAAGTTTTAAACCAGCGTAGGATATTGTGTTTTTGGTACTCCGGAGATTTTTTTTTTATTATAGAAATGAAACGGAACAGCGGGAATAATAGGCAGGCTTGTGTGTGTGTGTGTGTGTGAGAGAGAGAGAGAGAGAGAGAGAGAGAGAGAGAGAGAGAGAAATTGAGAGCGAGAGAGAACGAGAACCCTAATTGAAGTCTCGAGAGGAGGCCTCCTGTCTGATGGGCGGCTGGGGAGAAATGTGACGATCCTGAGTTAGGAAAACAAATTCGCCGGGGCGGCTTGGTTTCGGGCTCCCGCACCGCGTCCCGGAGGAGGTGGCGGCAGGGGCGCCGCTACAGCGCGCTCGCTCCTGCGGGAGCCCCAGCCTCCCGGTCCCGCCGCCTCCCTTCTGCTCCTCAGACACGCTGGATGCCTAAGCGCAGCATGTACCGTTTCGGGGAAAACTTAAGTGTGATTAACAGGAAACGTTCCTGTCTCCCCCTCCTCCTTCCTCCTCACATGTGGGCTACGCGTTCATTCAACATGATTTCTTCCCCTCAGGCTGAACAGTGCTTTTGAAGTTTTTTTTGTGGGGTTATAAGAACCTCTGTGTTATTGTCTAGCTGAATTTTTCCAAATTGATGTTTCTCTGTGCAAGATATTGGAGATTTTGTTGAGCCATAGGGAAAATGTGATTCTCAGTAAATATGTGGGTCACTACAGTATGTAAGTTATACTCCATTTGCAGAAGTATGGCTCTGTAATTGTGTGAAAAGACAGAGGACGGTTGTTACAGCGCACATCCTGCTTAAGCCGGTCCATTTTTAAGCCAAGCGCAATGGCAGGTTGATTAGCTGTAATTTCGCTTTTTAATTGGTGTCTCCCAAACATCATTAATCTTTGGAAAGGTCTGTCCTGCATGCGTGCGAAAGGCGCTCTGCACCTCGACGGCTCTGTGAAGGGACGCCGCGCGCGCTCTCTCATCAAGATCACCCAACCATGCAGCACAATTCCAATCTTCACAGAGCAAATACCACTCGCCTTGTTATTACATTTCTCTTGTCCAAGCACTGATATTTCCCAGTGTACAAAGCAGCTTTCAGATTCCCATCCATGATTACTTTTGAACGGTAGATGATAGAGTGGGGATTGACAGCGCTATAAATTACAACGACCCTGAATATTTACTGTGAGAAAATGGGTGAAAATGCTGATCTTGCCTGTGCTGCCCAGGTGAATAAGCCTTGGGTGGCGAGGTCTGCTTTCTGCAAAAAGGGGTAGATTCACAAAAGTGATTTCTGGCTGATATGTTGTTTTGTTGTTGTTTTTTTTTTTTTTAGTTCACCAAAAAAACCTTTTGATGTACTCAAATCCATTATTCATTTGCAGTGGTTATTCCTGAGATGACAATTCAATAATTTAACTCAGATAAAATATAATCATTTAATAATTAAATGATTATGAATTATGGAGCAATTGCTTAATTTTGTAGGCTTATTTTTATTTAAATTCATCTAAGAAAAACTCCTCAGGGAACACACCTTGTGTTCCCAGTCCCTGGTGTAAATCTTTTGAAAAGGATTGAAAGTGCAGTTTTGAACAGCCATCTTTGATTATTTTTCTTACCTAATAAATCAAGATCAAGGGTTATGACTTAGGTGACTAAAAGATCCATCCACGTTTGTAAAATAAAAAACTAGTGAGTTTGTCAGGAATATTTTCCTGCCTCACTTTTCATTTGTCTTTTATCAATTATTGTTTTTCTTTCTTCTGTTGTCTTAAAGAACCGTAGGCAAGTACTGATAAAAAGGTGAGATCCAGTACTTTGGTTGTCAAGGCCTCCCGCCCAGTGGCCTATCGTCAGGGCAACTTGAGATATATGACATCATCATTGCAGAAGCTCAAAGGCAAAAAAAATAGTAACGCGTTAATGACCAAACAATAACACACAAGTTTATAAAACTACCCTGTCAAAGTACGTCAAATGTGTGACAGTACTGTATACTTTCTTCCATGTGTGTGCGCATTAGTAAATTAAGATGTTTGTAACTCTGTTGTGGCCACCTTACTACTACAAAATGAAACTGAAAATAGCTACAGAATTGATGGGAAAAATCGGAAAAGGTGTTTCTTATTAACGGCTCATTGTGATGAATAGCACAAGGAAACCTGTTTTTCAGGTTTAGTGTTTGATCATTTTGTGCACTCCACCCAAGAGAAGTGTCAACTGACAGGAAATGTAATTAAGTTGGGAATGAGAGACGGAATCTGGAATCAAATGGACCAGCAGCGTGCTGTACTTCGTAGGCTGTACTTTGAAGTTTGCTTTCGGATGTATTCTTGTTTACTGAACCAGCAGTTTGTAAATCTTGTCTGTGGGCCTGCCCACCCTGTCCATCCTCTAGTTGTTTTTGCTGTATTCTGACTTCTTCTGAGCCTGATCCAGGAAATGTAATGGTTTACAATTAATCGACAAGAAGTACTATATCTGCTAGTGGTGCAGCAGGACGAAAATGAGAAGTGACTCTCGCGGGGTGGGACTTGTGAGAAACAATGGAGAACGGAAACAAATTCCTCATTCGATATGTGAGGCCAAATAGAAAAAAATACCAAGTATCGAAGTATTAAATGTTCTTTGAATGTGTTAGGACTATACTGCATGCCTGAAAAAGTGTATCTTAATTTAAACAGCATATTTCAGTATGTACAACGGCACACCAATATGAGCTTGTTCAATAATTATTCAGTCAACTTTCGAATCACAAATTATTTAAAAAATAATTCTATCATCTAGATTAATTTAAAAGTAATATATGTAGTGTATTTAAAAGTGGAAAATACAGCTGTCTAAAGGTTTTAAAAATGACTGTTGCAATTTTTGAAATTGATTAAAAGCATACACTATTGTAATTAAACAGACTTATGAATATTGGCATATTTTAATGAATGTTACTATATTGTTTACATTTAATAGGTCAACAAAAATAGTTCAAATTAATCAGATGGTGCAAAGATGTAAATTACAAGGGATGACTGTAATTATATTAATAGTTAACCATTAAAATAATTCAATTTCCAAAGTGAAGGATTGAAGGATTTCTTAGAATATTTCAAAATACAAAAACAAATTTAAACCACCTCTGCAGTAAAAGTGAAACACCATAATTCAACACAAAAATAAAAATACACACAAGCTTTACATAATCAAACTTTCATCCATCTTCCAAATGCCTATCCTTATCCCTGCCTGTACCTGTAGCAAAAGCACTAGACTGATGTACAATCTGGATGGGAGTCCGGTATCGTATAATCAGAAAACGAAAAATCAATGTTCCGTAAAAGACTGCTGTTCGTTTAACAGAAAAAGAAAAAGGTTATCGTGTTATTTTAGTTTCTGTCTCTAGGGGCGCCGTTATCTTAAGTTGAAGTTCAAGTTTCTATTCACTGGTCATTAAAAAAGTCGTTGGCAAATATCAGCGCGGTCAAATCACCGGATTATTATACACATCATGGTTTTTCCCCAAACAATTATTAATACCAAAAAGTAAAGGGAAAAGCGTTCTTGGTAACATGATTAATTGGAGCAACAATTTAATGCAATTACAAAGAACATATTGGCTGGAATAGTAAACATAAGCCTTGAATTACCACCCATGAATACAGTATTGTAGAATGTTATTTGTCGCATTTATTTTAAGCAGCGTGTTTTGCATATTACTTTTACATGACATAGGATCTTAAGCAGGTGTTTTCTGTATTAAAATGTAAAATACTTGAGAAACGCTGGAATTATCCGTAAGGTTTAGTGAAATAAGATGATCCGATATAACAACGATAGACAAAATACGCTATTACAAAATACATCATCGATAAGTGTATTTTAACGGATAAATTAAAAATCAATAAAACCATTATAAGCATAAATCAATAATCTATAAACGGCACTGATTAGGTGCAGTAGCTGCGGTTTATTTCTGATGCAATCAATTAAAAAAACACACAGTAAACAACACGTGTAACAGTACACGATTAAACCATGTGTTCGTCTTCTGTTGGTTTGGAAGCGATATTGTGGTCACTGCCAATAAAATGCTATAATTAACATAAACAGTTACAAAGAGACACTTGCCAGCGATTATCCCGGCGGCGGGGAGCGCGCGGTCTGCGCGAAGAAAGTCCATTCCTTGTTTTACCGGTTTAAAAAATTGCCGGCTCCCGTTCAATAATTCTATTGCGCGGCGCTGTTCAATACCACAGGTTCCTGTTCGATAACTCCATTCCGCGCCCCTGTTCAATAAGCGAAGGGCGCGTTCGATCGCTCCGCTCCGTGTTTTGCGCGCGCTCCCCCTCCTTTCCTCCGAACTCCGGCCCCTCGCTCTCTCTCTATCAGCCTCTCACTCCGTCTCAATATGTCTCAAGATGGCGGCCAATGCTGGATCGATGTTTCAATATTGGAAGCGCTTTGATTTACAGCAGCTGCAGGTTAGCCCTTTTCCCCTTACGTTGCTTCGCTTTTTTGAGGGCTGCCGCCGGGGAAAGTCGCGCCGGAGCCGTGCCTCGGTGCTCCGGCGCTTCTTTGCCGGTGTTTGGGGCCGCTTTCGGGAGCTCGCTTCTCCCATTGATTGAAGCGGCTTTCTCGCTGATCGGAAATTGATCCTCTTTGTTCAATTCCCATCGATCAGCCATTATGGCCGCGGGGAAACGGCCACCTAGGCAAACTGGGGCTAAAGCCGGCCCAGACGTCCGTAGCTGAGTTTCGCCGGCCGGTCGTTAACTTTGCATGGCAGAGTGGATGTTTTGATGGGTTTTTGGCGTGTTTTGTGTGAATAATTTTGTAAAAATTGAAAGGCGTTTGTTGTGTCTCGCGAGCGCGGGTGGCGCTGTGGTGACCGAAACGGGCTCGCGCGCAGACAGTTAGCTCTTATTTTTGTATTTCACTGTAAGTTGTTTTATTTATTGTAGTAACGAAAAAATTGTATTTTGAAACGAATAACTTATGTTTTCGCGTAATACATCAGTTGTAGAACGAGTCGTTGATTTTGAAGATAGTTGATTAGGCACGACTGAAAACTTACAATCCCTGGAAGTTTGTCTCCGTATTTGAAAACCAATTATTTATCGATCTTGGTTTAATAAATACATTAAATGCATGCCGAGTTGACTTAAATACTTTTTTGTGTGTTGTTTAACACTTTTTCTAATTTAGTTAACGAATTAGCGGTTAACGTTGCTGCCTGATTCTAAAAATGTCTTTCTAGTTGTATTTTACTGGAAACGATATTTAAATAAACAGAATCACACAACATTTACTTTTTACAGTAATATATTTTTTTTCCTCTGGGCGACTTGCATGATACGTTTAAATTGTAGGTCGGGGTTTATAAGGGGATTTGCCCTAAAACACAAAGCGGTGGAGTTATTGCAGTTTTATTTTTCTGACTTAAGTTCATAGCTGTGAAGTTTTATCTTGCAAACCCTGTATTGACAGCTGCTTAGTTCACAATAATAAGTTCACTGGAAAAGCGAGTTGTAGAAATGAAAGTGAATTGACTTGTTATTGCTAACAGATATCGATCCATGTCAAACTATGTTATATATTCGATAGTTTCATTAATGTATCTTTAGTTTTTAAAAACCATATTCAGTGTACATGTTTGTTTTAAATCTGTTGAAATAGTTTTAAAATCCTTATGGAGCGAAACTGTTTCGGGCAGTGAAATATTGTCCCCGGAGGAAATAAAGGGGGACTTTCGTTAACTGATTATTTGTTTCGAAATCTTGAATAATTCTGATACACGTATAACGCTAATACCCCCCAAGAAAAGGCTGTGAAACACTTTTCGCTTGAGCGTTTTTTTAAACGTTCGTTTGGGAGCCTTTTTTTGTTTTTGCCGTTTTTCAGGTAAGGGGCTTGTGACTGAACATTTCCTGAATAATCCCAACGAAATCCAAAAATGACTGTCGGATATTAACATCACAACCACACTACCCCCATATAGACAATAATTGATGTTCTAATTTCTCTATTAATTTGTGGGGGGGGGGGCACTTTGTGGGCAATAAAATGGGGATCAGGGCGAATGTCGGTTCAGGTACCGGAATGTCACCGCACGTCGTGTCAGATCCTGGAAAAAGGTGGGGAAATCCTGCCTTTCCCCCCCTCACCGTTATTTTGTAACGAAGAGATAACTCCGCAACATTAATGCCAGTAATATACAAATATTACGCGATGTTTTCTTTGTCGTCGTGGTAGGTAGCATCGAGTTTTTTTTCCCCTTCTCTCAGTAGTGTCCGCCATGGCTCCTTTATTAGCTGGATAGTGCAGCCCCGAGCAGGTCGCTGTCTGTGACGGTCATTAAAAGAGGCTTTCATCAATTAAAATACGCTTTTTTCAACGTTGATTGCCTTCGGACTGCTTGTTGGAAAGCGGTCGGCTAATTGGACCGCTGGTGATCGCTGGAAGGATGTGCATTGATCCCCCCCCCCTTTGGTTTGATCGTGTGATCGGGAGCATTTGTAGGGGTGGGGGTGCATTATTCGTTATTGTAATTTCCTTTTGCACCGTTGCGGTTTTAAGAAGTTGCTTAAAATCGTGTGCCGTAACCCGAAGCTGAGAAAATGTGCGTATTTGTAACTCATTTTCTTTCGGGAGGTTCTTTTTCCGTGTCGCGCATTTCGACAGTGCCCTCCCCCGTAGGTGCCTGCGGTTGTCCAGTAATAATGCGCCCAGGTGTCTATATAACGCCAATAATTCTCTTCATATTTATTGGATGCTCTTGTTTTGTTAGTCGTGTTTTATGTTTTAACGTGTCATAGCTATCAAAAGCTTTTTTTTCGGTGGTTGGGTCTTTAGCTGCCATTTTCGTAAATTAATTTTTTAGAGAACTATTTCCTTAACCCTTGTAAAACGTCGCTCATTGCAGCCTATAAATTGTATTATATATTCTAACCCTTTGAAGTAGTGGGTAGTGTCAATCTCACTTTTAAGAGAGTATATTTTTCCTTTTGGACTAATTCTCCTTCCTTTCCATACCATTATTAACTGTCTGTATCTTTGTGTTTCCCCTCCACATTGAGAATCGAAAATATGCACTGACTCTACGTGGAGATTATAAAATGTGCCTCTTCTTCTTTTAAGAAATGGCAAAGTTATCGAAATGTTGTATGCTGGAGAAGTAATTCGGGAGACCGGGAAGTAAAACCATGAAAATAGGTGTCCACGATGGGGTGGTATTTAACATTTTACTTTAAAGTGGGCTCAGAGTATAACTACAGCACTGAGGTGTATTTCTGATGACAACAGTCTCATACTAATACTATCTTAGCAATGACAGATCTGTCAGTGGCAGACTACAACATGGTAAAATTTCAATTTAAATGTATTGCTGCTGAAGAAATGCTTGGACTCCGGGTATATATCTGGAGTGTTGGGTGTGTGAGTTTTTTCAGGATGGTGAAATGTGTTGTCCTGACACTAATGGTGTTCAAGTAGTTTTTTTATTTCAAGCCTCACTTAAGCAATATCCTGCTTTCCATCTCTGTTATTCCTCATTGATTTTGTGAGATTTCTGGCTATGTAGTAACATACCTAGAGGAACATAGCAAACAATATATCGAAGTGTGGGATGCGTTATACCTTCTGTTTTCTTCTGAGTCACTTTGATTTGGAATGGGATTTGTATGTTGTTCCCTTAACAGCCTTTTGATAATCACAATTGTTACTATTAAAGGTGGGGATTATCTTCAGCTTTTTGGGGAATCTGAAAACAGATGGGGCTCTGTGTGAGTTTTAAGCGTTTGACATCTTACTGATGGTGCCTTATTACTTTACTTCCACAGACTCCTTCCTGGAGAATCACTGTGTGGAGGCTGTATTGGTGTCACAGCCTATCAGTGGCTTGTCATGCTCACCAACCTTAAACTAATATTGTGTCAGTGAGAAGCAGTACATTATTGTTTTTTACATTTATTGACGTTTTGTGTTTATGTCATTCCAATGCTGGAGCCGTCAAAGGCTACAGGTTACAATATCATGTAATAAAATTGGATGAACTCCCTCTCGGATGTGGCAGGTCTCAACGAGAGAGCCTAGTGTCTTCTTGCCAAAGCTCAAATGACAGTAGACTGCGCTACGCCTGTTCTGTAAAACACATAATGGGATATTTTGCAGGCCAAGTTGCTCTCAAGTTCTTCCTGTTCAGTCGAAAAGGGGTTTAGGAAGTAGAGTTTAAGCAAGGGAAAATACAGCCACAGGTGGTCCTCAATTTCCATTCTGGCATTGATTTGCCCCCGCTAACAAAGGGCATCTGCGTTTTTGGCCTTCGCTGGCCTAGGCAAAGGATCCACCTGTGCTACGTGTTTCTCATGTTTTGCTTAGTGGTCTTCTGAGAGCTTGCAGTGTTGAGTTTGGAGTGTCAGTTGGGAGATGGAGAAACACACACATACAGAGCCCAAGGTTCACCCTCCCAGCCCTGTATTCTCTACAACGTCATGCATGGAGGAATTGCTGTCTTCTGCGGTTGGCACTTTGATGTGACTGTGAATGAAAAGCGTTTCTTCTGACGCTCTCTCTCTCTCTCTCTCTCTCTCTCTCTCTCTCTCTCATTGGGCTTCATGGTATGAGAGGGGGGCACCATAACTTATCCTTTGTGGTCAAATTTGTTCATCTAAATCTGTACCAGTGATTAAGTTTCATTTCGATGTGCATGAGTTAAGCAGCTCCTCGTGAATGTGCAAATCACTTTTTCCTGCATACAGTGTCAAAAAAAAAAAAAAATCTGATCTTAATTAGTTGCTGTACTTGGAATACTTTATGACTAGACTGGGAGCTTGATTAATTGTTGACAGGTGTTGTAACTTTAAAGAATTTACACATTTTCCATTCCTAATTTTTCCTTCCCCCAAGTGTGGTAATGGCAGTACTTATTTATAGACACATGGATGCAAGAAACTGAATGCATTAATAAATAAGGGAGGATTTTTTCAGTCCCCCTTTCTACACCATTGTGGAATTAAGAAATGAGTGCCGTTGGTGCCCGAATGAACCATAGTGGCAGATGTAGCCATGTTTGGGCTGTGCTGGTCTACAGGGCGCCCTTCACGAGTAAGACTGGGCTGGGACGCGGCTTCGCAAACCGTTAGGTGTCTTTAAAAAGGTCCCGTGTCTGCGTGACATCTACACCCTCGCCTCTGCCTGTGGCGCACTGGCTTTGGGTGTGTGAGAGTTCACGGTGAGGTGCGTGACCCCAGGCAGGTTCCAGGGCGTTGCATCTGTTGCCGTTTGACAAAACCCATAACCCTAACCCTCTGCCGTCTTGCATCTGCGATAGCCTGCTTCTGATTTATTGGTTTATTTGCAAAGTGTCAGAAGAACCTGTTCTGCTTTCCTTTGGGGGCTTTTTTTTAATCCTCCTGTTGCTGCGTTGACGTCCGAGGAAGGCTTCCGGAGTGCCTAACTACTTGTTTACTTGTTTTCTGACCTG